TGTTTGGGAGGCAACTAGGCAGTGAGACCGAGTCCTGTGCTGATTGCATGAGTTGGCTGTTTGAAACCTGGAGCTTATGCAGGGACGCTTGGCTCAGTCTGGGAGGAGTGGACTGGACCTGCCTGGACTGAGTCTACCAGATTGATTGCAGTCCTTGGGGGAGGCTTTGCCCTGGAGGAGGTGGGAATGGGGGGTGGGCTGGGAGTAAGGGGAGGGCGTGGAAAGGGGGAGAACAGGGGAACCCGTGGCTGATATGTAGAACTGAATGGTATTGTAAAATAACACAAAAGAAAAAAAAAAACTAAACAAAAAAAATTAAGGTGAATGGCTCCTGAAGAACAGTACAAGAGAATGAAACTGAAGCGAAGGTAATGGAAGAACACTGCTTCACAGCTTTCTCTCTCCTTCCCTGCTCAGCCTGCTTTCTTACGGCACCCAGGACTGCCTGCCTAGGAGCGGCCCCCCTCACAGTGGGCTGGACCCTGCCATCATGTGCGTATACATTTAACCACACATACACAATGTGAGGGACCGTGGAATGGGTCATCAGGGGATGTAATTGCAAGGGAAAGCAGATAAAGCAAGAACTTGGCAGTTGCTGTGGGTAAAGTGATGATTAGGTAATGATGATCTAGTACAATGGGTTGACAAGCAGCAATGAGACCCAGGAGGGAGCCATGCCTGAAATACTGGAAAGAGCTGTCAAGAAAGCATGCTAGGGGCCCTTGAGATGGCTCAGTAGGTAAAGATACTTGCTGCAGAGCCTGAAGACCTGAGTTTATCCCTAGGACCCACATGGTGGAAGGAGAGACCCCTCATTCATCCCCTTACCTCCTAAGGTTCTCATTCCCCAGCTCCACTCCCTGACCACACCCATGAGGAATGCTGTAGAGTCTGATAGTCTCTCCTCCACAGCTTTGGTGGCCTTTTCTCCATAGGATACTAGAACCTTCAGTGTCTTCCTGCTCCTGGGAAACTTGGGTTTTAGACTGGACATGACTTTGTACTCTAAGAGCAGACAATTATCACACAGAGAGGGGTATCTTAGTTAGGTTTCTACTGCTGTGACAAAACACCATGACCAAAAGCAACCAATTTTCTGAGAAACCGGCCCTCAGGCCAATCTTATGGAGACACTTTCTTCATTTATAGTACCTCTTCCCAAATGACTCTAGCATGTACCAAGTTGACATAAAACTAGTGAGGACAGGTGGCAATTAGACTATGTAGTAACAACCTGTTTTAATGTGTGTGTGAGTGTATGTGTGAACATCCATGCATGTGTATGTGTGTGCCAGTTTGTGTGCTTACAGGTACACATGTATGTGAGTGCACATGTGGGCCCATGTGTGTGGAGGCCAGAAGACAACCTGGGTATCACTGAAGTGCTGTGGGATGGTCTGTATGTCAAATTATTCTGATTGGTCAATAAATAAAACACCGATTGGCCCGTGGCTAGGCAGGAAGTATAAGCGGGACTAACAGAGAGGAGAAAAGAAAGAACAGGAAGGCAGAAGGAGTCACTGCCAGTGCCGCCATGACAAGCAGCATGTGAAGACACCAGTAAGTCACGAGCCACGTGGCAAGGTATAGATTTATGGAAATGGATTAATTTAAGCTATAAGAACAGTTAGCAAGAAGCCTGCCACGGCCATACAGTTTGTA